GTCGCTTACGGCCATACCACGTTGAATGCACCAGTTCTCGTCCGATCACTGAAGTTAAGCAACGTCGGGCTTGGTTAGTACTAGGATGGGTGACCGCCTTGGAATACCAAGTGTCGTAAGCTTTTTTCACTTTTTTTCTTTTTGGTTTATTTTGATGATGTAGTGAAGACTATTTTTTCAATAATGTGTTCATTACATGTGAACGATATCGACAAATTTCACTGCTTAGTTATACATATTCTTGATTCTATTTTCCATTTGTTCGTCAACATGAGTCCAAAAACACATATTCTTTCAAATGTTTTACACGAAGAAAAGTGCAGTCCCTTAAAACACTTGTTGTGTTATTATAAAGAGGTAATTTGCGATATATTAAACAGATTTTAAAGAGGTAAGGCCTCGTTTACGTAAACTTTTCGCTGTAAGCTAGCAACCACGTTGTTATACACGTGCTTGATTAACACATTTCAAAGTCAGAGATTACGCACCTAAAAAGCAACGTAGACGGTGCGGTGAAGTGAAATTAGCTGAAGACAAGCACTGATCGTAGCGCGTTGAGTTATAAAGTGGAATTAAGCTTTATTAGAACTATTATCTTCGGTCCACTGGATTTGTTAGTTACCACGATGTGTATTAATTGGGCTTATATTCAACATATATTAAAGAGGTAAAACCTCCCGGCTTACAGAGTGAAACAATATATCAGACGTGGATTATTTTAGACACGTGGTATATTAAACATGAGTTAGATTAACACGTGTCATATTAAACGGAAATCATAGGGTGAGATTATACACATTTTGAAAGAATGTCAACGGTCTGACCACGTGGACTCCACGTGATAAAATCCAACGATAAAATTTTAGGAAAATGTTTAACTTTTTGATTGTTCTACGTTATAAATGAGTCAATTTTAGTCGTAATTTAAGAATTTTTAAAAGACAGTTGTGATTAAACAGAGTTTAAAATGGAAAAATAAGACGATATGTACAAATTAATTGAGAATTGGAAAGTCAGGATCCATTTCAAATAAGAAGACTGCTGCTGTTTTTCGAATAGTTTGAAAATGATGCTTTGGCCATTCGAAAGCCGACACCTGAGAATGAATTACTTTTTTTCTATAAGGAGAAAGGTCTTGAGAAAGTATTTCAAAAATCGGTTTCTAAAGAGATCTTTGAAAAAACATTTCATAATGCGAAAATTTAGCATAGCAGTATATTAGCCTTTTCATGGTTTTGGATTTCTCCGAAGCCCCATATCGAGATGTACTCTATTTTGTCTGCACCATTTGTCCAATCAGGACGAATGAATTATTAATCTATATCCTAGTATAGTTTTTTCTGGATTGTCTTAAGTGCGATCATAACTAAAAATTATTCTCTAAGTACACTAGAATCACATTTGTATAGTTTTGATTAAACCGCCCCTGCCTACTGCACTGTTTCATTAATTTAAAAAGTGAAACATTTTATTATTTTATTTTTAGATTTAGACTATTTTCTTTCTACATTTGAAAAATGCATAAAGTTCTTTCAGCTGCTGTTGATTCTAATCTGTTATCGTCTGAATCATTTATTGATGAATGCTGTCAAAATAACTTGGATTATTCCACAACATATGATCAAAAAATCTATGACTTTCGTGCTCCACCCTCTAAACATCTGGCTGTTATTTGTTGTATGGATGCACGACTAGGTAACATACTACAATATTTGCATTCTATTCTGTTTTGAACATAATATTTTTTTGGTACTGTTTAGACGTGTTTCGAATGTTAGGTTTGAAACCGGGCGAAGCTCATATAATACGAAATGGTGGAGGACGAATTCGAGATGCTGTTCGCTCTCTAATCTGTAGTCAAACATTGTTACAAACCAAAGAAGTAATGATAATTCATCATACTGATTGTGGTTTTACATATTTTTCGTCAAATGAACAAGTTCTTGCTGCATTAAAGTTACAGCCCGGTACAAATACTGGTGAAGTGTCGTTATTCAAAACATTAACGGGTCAAACAAATCCCAATGATGTACCAGATTTTCAACCAATCAAAGATCTAGAACAAAGTGTGAGAGATGATCTTTTAGAATATAAACAATATCCAATGTTAAATCAAAATGTAACGGTTAGAGGATTTCTTTATGATACGAAAACTGGTATTTTGAAAGAGATCAAATAGACATGAATTTACTTTTACTGTTTTATTATATTCTAGCATTCTAAGTCAAAGTCTTTCGTTTTTAATTAAGTTTTATTTACATGTATAATCGTTCGTTCATCAACATTAATTTTCTTGTGTTATTCTAGCATTCATGCGTAAAAAGATGGGCGCTTTTCTTCAAAATCAAGTATATGACTGTTTTTATATTTATCTTTGATATATTATTATATTTCAGCGATTTCGTGGCTTTTTTCTCATTAATTTCGATAGACTGATAAGGAAGAATAAAGTAGTCAAAATAATCATTCATCTTTAAGTCAATTTAATCCAAACACTGTTTTTGAGTTTTACTCAAATTTCATGAATATCTTTGAGAGCTTGCAACTCATACTTCCTATCATTCGAGATCTAATTGTGAATTTGAAAGAAGAAAGCATCAGCGTAACATTTATAATTCATAATTTTTTATATTCAGAGACAATTCTTTTAAAACAAAACGAATTCGGATGGATAATGGAAATTCTAATGTCTCGAAACAAGGTACGTGATTTTAAATTCCACTAAATTCTGAATAGTCATATTCATTGCTTTGCTAAGATAAAAGTATTGCTACAAAATATCTAAGTTAGTTCAAAACTTGACACATGAATACTAGCAGAAACTCGATTTATACTTATTCAGGGATTGCATAAATTTGATAATATTATTTCAAAGAACTAATGCGAGTATCCCAATCAGTAATTATTATCTGTGAAAATTTATTTATTTCATTAATCTCGTGCTATTTTGACGTATGAGCCATTGGATGTATTTTGTGATCGAACGTTCTCAATCAACTCTACTGAAATAAGAAAACTGATTGAAAAGGTTTTTAGGGCACATATTTCACAATTTTGGGCAAAATCTACTGATCCTTAAGTTTTTAAATTTGACGGAGAAGTTTAGATTTGATGAAAAACCCATTAGAATGAACAACCGCTAAATGGCGAAAATCAGTCAACTTTTATTTTCGCACAGCGAGAGCGAAAAGACAGGTTGCTAGCGCAATAGTGGCATATATAACCGAAAGCGTCCGAAATTTTACAAAGTTTTATACATTATCCTTTTCTAAGTTATTTAGCGGTGTCATATTTGATAATGGTTTGTCACTCGTTCTACAGCAGTAATATATATGGACTGCACTCATCTACAGAATAAAAAAGGAAGAAAATGCTCCTAAAAACAGTAATTGTTATTAAATTAACAGCTATAGACATTCTCATGGGCTTCGAGTATCAGAATTACCGGCTTGACTTCTCATAATCGAAACTTCTGATTAACTCGAAGAGTTATGCCATGGCAAGTGTGTTCTCGCTTGTGTTTTCTTAACGATACTAGCGACCTCTCAACAAGAACACTCTTGTACAATATCTATATACGAAAGATTTCTTCGTCAAATCGTATATACTTAAAACCTTTGCGTTGATCTGTTTTTTGTTAACATAATTACTATATAAAATCGTGCCCTCAACGATATCCATATCGAATAATCTTGCTCTTCACTCATCTGATTGGTGTTTCAGTTCCGAAAGTTTTTGATAACTTAAATTCAGGGATGTGGCGACCACGGGGTGCGGGGGGGTACGCACCCTCCCACTTTTTTTTGAAAGAAGCGAAAATATGGAAAATTAGAACAACTATTCGATAATATTATAACATTATAAACTAAAATACGAATAAATGATCTTTCTGTAGATTGATCAGTAGGGTCTGATTTGT